TTCAGAGAAGTTTCTTTTTAGCTCTTCTGCCCATTTTTTGACTGGATTATTTTCTTTGTTTTTGTTGAGTCTCATCAGCTCTTTGTAGATTTTTGTGATCAGTCCTTTATCATTAGTGTTGGGTGCAAAAATGTTCTCCCAGTCAGTGGGGTTTCTCTTTGTTTTGGCTATTGTCTCTTTTGCTGTGCAGAAGCTCTTTAATTTGATGTAGTCCCAGCTGTTAATCTTTGCCTTCACTATCACTGCTTTGGGTGATGTGTCTGTAAAGATGTCTTTGAGGTGCATGTCATGTAGTGTTTCGCCTATATTTCCTTCTATATATTTTATGGTTTCAGGTCTTATGTCTAGTTCTTTAATCCATTTTGAGTTGGTTTTTGTGCATGGTGTGAGGTAGTACTCAAGCTTCATTCTTTTGCATGTAGCGACCCAGTTTTCCCAGCACCATTTATTGAACAAACTTTCTTTGCTCCAGTGCATATTCTTTGCTCCTTTGTCAAAGATTAGTTGACCATAGATCTGTGGGTTTATTTCTGGGTTTTCTGTTCGGTTCCATTGGTCCATGTGTCTGTTCTGGTTCCAGTACCATGCAGTTTTGATTATTATGGCTTTGTAGTATAGTTTGAAACTGGGAGAGTGATGCCTCTAGTCCCTTCTTTTTTTTCAGGAGGGTTTTGGCTATTTGGGGTTTTTGGTGGCTCCATATGAATTTCATCAGTATTTTTTCTATTTCTTTGAAGAATGACATTGAAATCTTAATTGGAATAGCATTTAATCTGTAAATTGCTTTTGGTAGGATGGCCATTTTGATAATGTTAATTCTTCCAATCCATAAGCAGGGGATGTCTTTCCATTTCTTTATGCCTTCTTCTATTTCTTTTAACAGTGTTTTATAGTTTTCTTTGTACAGGTCCTTTACTTCTTTTGTTAGTTTTATTCCCAAGTATTTGATTTTTTTTTGTTTCAATAATAGAAGGAATGATTTTCTTGATTTCTTCTTCTTCAGATTTATTGTTTGTGTATAGGAAGGCTACTGATTTTTGTTTCTTGATTTTGTATCCTGCCACTTTACTAAATTGATTGATTAGTTTAATTAGTTTTTCTGTGGAGTTTTTGGGGTTTTCTATGTATATTATCAGATCATCCACAAATAGTGATAGTTTGACTTCTCCCTTGCCTATTTGGATTCCTTGTATGTCTTTCTCTTGTCTTATTGCTCTGGCTAGGTGTAAAGGTCAGGAATGACCACTGAGCAGGTTTTCTAGGATCCCATGCAGACCGGGTAAAGGAGGAGTCAGAGTCCTCAGTAGTTTTTGCAGGTTTTTTTATTGGGGTTCACCAGGCATATGGCAGGCAGGGGTGCTGGGGGGCCTGCCAGCCTCCCAGCCCCCAGCAAGTCCTCACTCTGGGCTCTCCGACCTTCTCTCTCTCTCCCTGGGCTTCTGTTGCTTCTCGGCTTCTCTTTCAGCTTCTGCTGCTGCTGGTGTCCCCGTGACGCCACCCTTAAAAGCAGTCTTAGCCCAGGTGAATCCCATCTACCTATGCCCACACCCTATTCCAGGTGCCCACCATCAGGCATGCATTCAGGACCGCAGGGATCCATCATCTATCCTGATGGCGGGAGGGCAGAAAAGCCTGACATTTTCCCTTACCCTATACTAGGACTTCCTTTGTTATGTTGAAAAGCAGTGGTGAGAGTGGACATCCTTGTCTTGTTCCAGATCTTAATGGGAATGCTTTCAGCTTTTCACCATTGTACCTCTGTATTTATTAATGGATAGTAGTAGAACTTCTTGTATACCAGAGCTGTTTGGTTAACTTGAAATATGCTTCAGATCAGAAAAGCAGAATAAGTAGAGAAAAATAAGCATCAGTGTAGTGACAGGAATGGACATGGAGCAGGTTTTCTATGATTGGAGCAGACTGGGGTAAAGGTGGAGAGAGTCCTGGAGCCCTCAGTGGCTTTTGCAGGCTTTTATTGGGATTTACCAGGTACAAAGCAGGCAGGGGTGCTGGGGAGCCGGGAGACTGGCAGGCTTTATAGCCCCCAGCAAGTCTTCACTCTTTCTGGGCTCTCAAGTGTTCTCTCTGCTTCTCTGCTCTCCTGCTTCTTCTGCTGCTTCTGCTTCTTTCTGCTGCTTCTGCTGGCGTCCCCATGACACCGCCCTTAAAAGCCCTGTCTTAGCCCAGGTGAATCCCATCTACCTATGTACACACCCCACTCCAGGTGCCCGCCATTAGGCATGCATTCAGGACCACAGGGTTCTGTCCTCTATCCTGATGGCCGGAGGGGAGAAAAGCCTGATACTTTTTACCTTACCCTACAATCAATTTTCAGAGTAATGAAATGGTGCCCTAGCAACCTACAGTGGTACCCAGGTGTAGGGTAAGGTAAAAAGTATCAGGCTTTTCTGCCCTCCACCATCAGGATAGATGACGGAACTGTGCGGTCCCAAATGCATGCCTGATGGCGGGCACCTGGAATAGGGTGTGGGCATATGTAGATGGGATTCACCTGGGTTGCAACTGGGCTTATAAGGGCGGTGTCATGGGGACTCCAGAGTAACAGCAGAGTGAAAGGAGAAGAACCAGAAGCGAGAGAGTCCAGAAAGAATGAAGATTTGCTGGGGGCTGGGGGTTGGGGGGCATGCCAGCCTCCTGGCACCCCTGCCTGCCGTGTATCTGGTAAATCCCAATAAAAACCTGCAAAAGCCACTGAGGGCTCCAGGATTCCTCCTTTACCCCATCTGCTCGGGTCATAGAGAACCTGCACTGTGCCCATTCCTGCCGCTACACCAGTGAATTGTGTTTTTTCTCTTTTCTATATTATTATGAGCTATTCAGTGGTGCCTTAAGCCATTTTGGTGATTTACTCATTTTTACTGGGGATCTCCCATGTGTACAGAAGGCATACATGTTATTATTAAACTTCTTAATTTTATCTTTTGTCAAAAAATATTAGCTCATGACTTTTTACATGTTTTAATAAATTGCAGTCATTATTCCTGTGATCTCATCATGTCCCATCTTAGCCACTGTAGTCTCTTCAAGCTGACTCCTATGTCCTTTTGATACAACCTCATTGGCCTTTGATAACCTTATTGTTTTAGTTTCAACAAAATATTCCAAGTTGATCTTTCCGATTTCTTGTCCCAGAAAAAGAACCATCTATTTATCTGAGAAAAATGTTCCCCAGTTACCTTCTTTACTCAACATCTATCTTGATCTATGCACTGTGATAGTGGAAAACTCATCCTTTGTTCTCTGTATCTAGTTATCCAGTTGACTTGAGATATCTTGCCTTTTCTGTATTTGTTGTCTATATTAAATCACAAGCCCTTAGTTATTTTGGTGTCCAGTGGAGTGTGATCATTTCTCTAATTTCCCCACTTTTATTTTTCTCTCATTCTTGCACCCTGCCCTTTGGTACATTACTACTTTCAACTCATTGTTTCATATTCATTCATCTTAGTATTTCATTACTTAGTACTTAGCCTTATTGTACAGCATTTTTTTAATGGTTTGTCTTTTTTTTCCCAAGAAGTTTGTGATCTCCTGAAGGTCAGGACTTCTCTACTACTTTAAGAGATAAAAAGCAAATCTATTAGGAATACAGTGACAATTGAATAGATAATTGAATTGAAGGACATATTTTGCTTGGCTGCCTTGTGGCCATATTTGCCAAAACTTTCACACCCGTAGTGCACAATGCTACATTTAAATATCGATACAGGGCCTCCCTGGTGGCGCAGTGGTTGAGCACTGGGTTGTGAAGCTGCCCGCAGCCTCTACAGCGCCGGTTCTATCCCTGGCTGCTCCCCGGCCACCGGAGGAGGGTCCCACATGGTGCGCAGACCTCTCCTGCCGCCCGCTGCTCCCCTCAGCAGTGTATTTCGGTCCTTCTGCCTGCTCTGCTCCCTGCTCTGGCTCTGGTGAATTCTCTCACCCTCCCGCGCTTCTGACTGTACCCAGTGCTTGTATAAATAAATAAATAAATAAATAAATAAATAAATAAATAAATAAATAAATAAATAAAACCTTAAATAAATAAATAAATATCGATACATGCCAAACTAAATCATGAATCTTTATACCAGAATTTAAAGTACAGGTGGTTTAAAAGTATTCAAAGTAATGCATTGGAAAGGAAGCACAAATATGCTGTTCAGAGAATTAAAAAATAAAAATCTAGTCTTTGGTTCTTGATTGTAGTTTTATTTTTTTTAAAGATTTATTTATTTATTCATACAAACACTGGGTACAGTCAGAAGCGCGGGAGGGTGAGAGAATTCACCAGAACCAGAGTGGGGAGCAGAGCAGGCAGAAGGACCAAAGTACACTGCTGAGGGGAGCAGCGGGCGGCAGGAGAGGTCTGCGCGCCATGTGGGACCCTCATCTGGTGGCCGGTGAGCAGCCGGGGATCGAGCCGGCGCTGCGGAGGCTGCGGCAGCTTCGCAACCCAGCGCTCAACCGCTGCGCCACTGGGGAGGCCCTTTGATTGTAGTTTTAATGCACACTCAAGAAAATACTTCCAGTGTCTGAACTCATTTCCTACTTGGTTTAGCTTCATTATTGGTGGCCCAGAATTTGGTTGGCAAATAAGACAGTTGGAAGCAAGTTTGGGTGCCTGGCAAACTCTTGAATTGCTTTTGATCTTATTTGTCATCTTATCAACTTTTTTACACTGCCAAGTCGGTGGATTTTTATGGTTTTTATAGAAGATGGAAATCAGAAAAGTCAAACTATTTACACCACTTAAAAATGTGACACTATTCCTATAATAGCACTGAAGCTACTCATCATGTGATTAAATCAGTGTTAATCTGTTTTATGATTAGAGTAAGGAAATAGCTGAAATGCTATGTCCCATCTGTCTACTTCCTTCTTCCTTTTACGCTCCAAAGAAGATGCTAGCACTTCTTCAAGGAATAATAAAAAGATTAAATTTAGAATAAATTTGTATTCATATTCAGACAACACTTCTTGGGTTTGCTTATAGGTACTATTATTGCCTTGGAGTTTAATGGAGATGGTGCTGTAGAAGGATGTCAACTTATTGTCAACGAGATATTCAATGGGACCAAGGTACAATATTCTATTGACTATATTTCAGTGAAACCTTTTCATTTCATTTCCTTTTCCTTACAACCAAATAGTACTTTTACCCTTGGTGTTCCTTGGAATTTAAAAAACCCAGCAGATCAGGATTTTTAGAACCTATGGTAAATAATTGGGAGCTAAGCTTTGGTTTTTCCTTGCCAAACTAAACTTTTAATTACTTAAATGGTTACATAATAAGAATATACTTATTTAAAACTTTCAGTAATACATTATGTTTCTAAAGTAAAAAGATTCATAAAATGTCTCTTCAAATCCTCTTTAAAAACATAATGATGTTGGGCCTCCCTGGTGGCCCAGGTGGTTGAGCGCAGCGCTGTGAAGCTGTCTGCAGCCTCTGCAGTGCCGGAGAGGCTCTGCCATGTGCGGCAATGCCCACATGGCAAAGCAGACCTCTCCTGTCTCGCCCACTGCTCCCCTCAACAGTGTGTTTCGTCAGTCTACCTGTTCTATTCCCCACTCTGTCTCTGGTGAATCCTCTCACCCTCCTGCACATCTAGCCTGTACCCGGTTCTTGTATAAATAAATAAATCTTTAAAAAAATAATGATGCTGAAAAATATATTTCTAATATTATATACTTTAGAGAGATGATCCATTGTCTGCCCAGGGTCCATTTATATTTACTTCAGTAGTTAATGCTTCACCAAAATTTGAACTTCACCTAAATCTAGAAATCATTAGGTATAGATATTTTCTAGACATGTTGATGAGATTGCTCTAAGAATTTCAGATTTAAATAACTTGAAAATCAAACCTAGAAGAGGATTGAATGAGTAAATATTTAATTATTTTTGATAAATATCAGGAAAATTTTTATTCTATACTCTGATTTGGCTATGAGTTCTTTAATTTGCATAATTTAAAATACTTTGTCTTTTTTTTCATTTTGTCATCATGGTAGTACTAAGAGAGGGGCCAAATATAATCAGATTGCATAGAAAAGGAAACAGAAAAAATGGTTATGAGTTTGGAGTTTTTATATCTGAATGAGTAAGAGATTATCTAATCCAACTTTCTTATTCTACAGGTGTGGAAATTGAAGTTTATTTTCAGAGAAGTATATTAAATTGTCAGCATCATACAGATAGTTTGTGATAAAGCTAGACTAGAACCCAGGTCTCTTCTAATTCCTGGCTAACATTTACAAAAGCTATACTTGAAGGATTTTATTGAGTACTATTTTGTTGATTTTTTTTTTTAAACCAATTCATTGAAAATTAGTAACATATCTTCATCGGCACAAAGACAATTTCTTTTTTAAGTTAATTTCAAGTTTTGCTTCTCGCCGATTATTAGAAAAAGGAAGAAACTAAAAGTCATTTAAAAACATCTTTACTCAGTAGCTTTCATAATATTGACGGTTGTATATTTTTAAAAAACAGCAAAATTCCAAGTGTGATGAAATACAGCTTAAGTATTATGAAAGCAAAGACCTTAATTATATCATCAGTGCTTTTAAAAGAGCTCAGTTTACATTATAAATTGAAACTACATTGCATGGATTCTATAGAAAAGCTACAGATAAAAGCTGATCTTAAATTTCTTTTAAATAGTAAGCCTGTGACTTTGTTTTGTGGATAACATGAGCTTTGGAATTTGGGGATTGCTGGCATTTACTTGTTTTTCTTTTTCATTTGAAATAGATGTTTGTATCTGAAAGCAAAGAGACAGCAAATGGCGATGTAGACAATTTCTACAACTTTGCTGATATACAGATGGGAGTGTGAAGTACATTGTGGAACCAAGAACTTGGTATTAACCCCTTTCAACTTGTGTATTTGCAGTGGCTTTTATTAATGCTAAAACTGCTGTTTATTTTTAAATAAATTGATGAATAATGTAATGTGTACTTGAGATTCACAATCAGTTCATTTTAAATTCAGTAGTTTTTAATCAGCTTAAAAATTAACCCACTTCAATAAGCTTGCAGTTTTCTTTTTCTGCATATGATACAAGTAGAAGTGGTTAACAGTTCATGATTTTAAGCCTAATCAAACATTCAAATCTCTAATAATTTAAACTTTCCTTGGTGCACCATGATATTTGTTTGAGAATACATTCCATTGCTTATTTTCTTTTTTTAATTTAGAGGGGTTTGTTACTAGTTAATCAATTAGAATGAACCTGTGCACATTATTGTCATGATACATATCCAATTAAATAATGGCTTCCTAGTTGTCTAATATGGCAAATGAGATTTTGTACTGGTGTTAACATTATACTTTATATAAAATGAATTTTTTAAATTGATAGATACTTGATAACCAGTTTTGCAAGTAACTCTACTAACTGATGTTGGTATAGCTGTTTAAAGACTACTTTGTAAGTAGTATGATTATTAGAATATAGTCCACACTGTTTAGTTTTTGAAAACCACTAGATGACTCGTCTGCTTCCTGGTAAGAAAAAGTATATGCAACACTGAAACTATAGCAACCCAATCACTGGCAGTTTCGAAAACGGTGATGACTGTTTATCAGCTCTTGCAGGCCATTAGGAGAATTAGAAGAAAACTTGTGACGTAAATAAGAATTACTTAGGCATGATAAGCTAAGCAGACTACTAAAAAGCTATATAAATGTTATTTTCATTAGATATGTTACTCATATCAAGTAATGTTCAAGTAGGATAAAATCATTTTGGTTGCTTCAAAGCATCATTTCCCAAATCAACCTGATCATAATAATTTACCAGGAGGCAGGGGAGAGCTACTTGTTTAAAAATCCACCTTCTTGGACCCAGTCCCCTCAGATTCACTAGATTTAGTCTCCAGGGGAAACTCTGTTTTAAGGAGTTTGTTGTAATCCAAAGCAATCCATACAGAAGATGTCGTTAGGTTGATCTTGAGAAAAGGGACTGAGCCTACCATCTACATCATGTGTAGCAGTTAATAGGAAATCAGCTTTCATAGGTCTATTTTTAAAAGGAACCTTAAATTTAATTCTATTTTGGTAAAACTAAGACTGCAAATAGCCACTTGTAAAAATTCCCCTTATGATTGTTTACTAAACATTGTATTTTCATGTTTAAGCTGTTTTTTGTCTTAATTTATAACTACTACATTGAATTATGTGTTTATGTTCAGCAATGATTCATTAACAAATTTCTCACTTTAATTAGTAATATTGACCACCTACCCTATGCTTGGCCTTATGGGAACCATTAGCATTGTATCTCATTTCAATCCTTTGATAAGAGCATTCTATGCTGCATAATTAACCTCTCATTTAAATCAAAATGATTTAATAAGACATAAATAAAAACTGGTGACATGATTAATATGATCATGATTTATAAGTGAGTTTTACAAATAGTGGTCAGAGGGCATTAATTTTTCCCACAGTTAAGCTAAATTAAACATTCCTTTTAATCATTATTACATTATTAAACCCCATTATTCACATTTAAAATAATCACGAACTTTTGCTTTTCAAAAATAAAGCACAATGTTATGCAAAGCTGTAAACTGAATTCTTTATTTTATCTATGTTATTTTAGCAAAAACTCAGGAATATAACATAAGAGAGACATTAATTTCAATTTTTTCACTAAATTTAGTGTCTATTAACCAAAGGCTAAAATTTTATATGTGTCAGTTATGTAAGAGCTTTTACCCAAGTTTAAATTGTTTTTTGAAGACAGTCATTTGACTTCTGATTGTTTAAAATGATTTTTAAATATAAGTACTATGATTGTTGTTTCTATAATTCTGAGCTTTGATATTCATTATAGTATATTACATTTCATTTTTGAATAGCTTTTGAATTTATGAAAAATTATTAGCAATGAAAAATTAGTATTTTTATTAAGTTATACATGTTTAAGCATTATAGTAGCTTATTTCTCTTGTGTTAATAGTACAGCTGTTTTTGCTTCTATATATTTATGTCTAGCTTTTATATGTAATTTATGTAGTGTTTATAAAATATAATTTGTAATAAATGTTGTTAAAATGAAAATGGCTTAACACTAGTTTTTCCACTTTTATTGAGTAATATTCAATATATATTTGTGTGTAAGTTTAAAGTGTACAGCATAAGAAATTGGCTAATATATATCATGATTACAATAAGAAGTTTAGTTAACACCCATCATCTCATATAGATACAAAAAAAAGGAAATTTTTTTCCTTTTGATAAGCTCTTAGGATTTATTCTCTTAACAGCTTTCATCTATATCATACCGCAGTGTTAACTATAGTCATCCTTACACCCCTAGTATTTATCTCTTATAATCTCTTATAACTGGAAGTTTGTACCTTTTAACCACCTTTATCCAATTTCCCATCCTCCGACCCCATGTCTGGTAAACCACAAATGTGATCTCTTTATCAATGAGTTTGTGAGACTCACATATAAATGAGATCATATGGTGTCTTTCTTTATCTGACTCATTCACATAGCATAATGCCCTCAAGGTCCATCCAAGTTGTTGCAAATAGTAGATTTCCTCCCTTTGTATGGCTGATAATACTTCATTATGTATGTATGCATGTATACTTACATATACAGAATGGATTTATGTATACCACTTATTTATCTATTAGTCCATCAATGGATACTTAGGTTGTTTCCATGTCTTGGCCATTGTAAATAATGTTGCTATGAACATGGAAGTGCAGATACCCTTTGACATAGCATTTTCATTTCCTTCAGATGTATTCCCAGAGCAGTTTTACTGGGTCATAGGATAGTTCTTTTTTTTTTTTTTTTTAAATTGAGGTATCATTGGTTTACAACACTGCATATGATTTAGGGGAATAGCTTCACACTTCCTCAGATTTATGTGACCACACCACACCAACCAGCAAACTGCTCATAGTCCTTTACCAGACTACTGGACCCCCTCCCTGCTTTGTTCCCACCCCCTCCCACTCTCCCCCTCTAGGAGCCTCAATTCTGCAATCATATTTCCAGGGTTTGTTTTAGTTTAGTCAATTCCTTTGTTTTGTTTCTTTATATTCCACCTATGAGTAAAATTATCTGGTATTTGTCTTTCTCCTTCTGACTTATTTCACATAGCATCATCCCTCTAGGTCCACCCATGTTGTCACACATGGCAAGAGTTCAACTTTTTTTTATAGCTTCTTCCATATAAAACTTTTTTATAGTATTCCATCTTGCATACATACCACCTCTTAATCCACTCCTCTGTCATTGGACACTTAGGTTGTTCCTATAACTAGGGGCTACACTACATAGTGCTGCAGTGAACAAAGGGTGCATACATCCCTTTGAATTAGTGGTTTTGCAATCTTTGGGTAGACACCTAAGGGTAGAATTGCTGGGTCATATGGTAGATCTATATTTAATATTTTGAGAAACCTCCATACTGTTCTCCATAGGGGCTGGGCAAGTCTACATTCCCACCAGCTGTGTCCAAGGGTTCCTTTTTCTCCACATCCTCACCAATATTTGTTGTTTCAGGATTTTTGATATGTGCCGTTCTCACAGGAGTGTGGTGGTATCTCAATATGGTTTTGATTTCCATTTCCCTGATGAGAAGTGATGGCAGTTCTATTTTTTATTTTTTGAGGAACCATCATATTGTTCTCCATAGTAGATATACAATTTGCAGTCCCACTAATAGTGCACAAGGGTTCCCTTTTTTACATCCATACCAGCATTTGTTATTTCTTGTTTTTTTGATAATAGCCATTCTAGTAGGTGTGAGGTGGTATCTCATTGTGGTTTTGATTTACATTTTCCTAACAATTAGTGATATTGAGCATCTTTCATGTGCTTGTTGACCATTTGTTTATCTTCACTGGAAAACTCTATTCAGGCCCTTTACCCATTATTAAATTGGATTATTATTATTTGCTGTTAAGTAGTATGAGTTCTTTATATACTTTGGATATTAACTCTTTATCAGGTATATGGTTTGCCAATATTTTTTCCCATTCTGTAGGTTGTCTTTTCATTATGTTGTTTTCTCTTTTGCTGTGCAAAAACTTATCAGTTTTATATAGTACCACTTTTTAAAAAAATTTGTTGCTTGGGCCTCCCCGGTGGCGCAGCGGTTGAGCGCTGGGTTGCGAAGCTGCCCGCAGCCTCTGCAGCGCCGGTTCGATCCCCGGCTGCTCCCCGGCCACCGGAGGAGGGTCCCACATGGCGCGCAAACCTCTCCTGCGGCCCGCTGCTCCCCTCAGCAGTGTACTTCGGTCCTTCTGCCTGCTCTGCTCCCCGCTCTGGCTCTGGTGAATTCTCTCACCCTCCCGCGCTTCTGACTGTATCCAGTGTTTGTATAAACAAATAAATAAATAAATCTTAAAAAAAAAAAAAAAAATTTGTTGCTTGTACTTTCGGTATCAGCTTAATGCTAGTTTTCAAAGAGCACTTCTGTAACATACATTTACTCATACATGTGATAAAATTTGATCGTGACAATTTTTAATGTTAAAGTGGTTAAATCTCTCTTATGTTAATGAGAAATGAGCTGTATGTGTGTTTGCATGTGTGTGCGCATGTATCTACACAAAGCACTCTGGATAAATGCAAAGGAAATAGAAAACCTATTTTACATTTCATTTTTTAAAATAGATCAGTTATTTAATTAGAGTCTCTGTAAGAAATTTAGAAAACTAGTTTGTGAGGATAAATTCCATTTGTGAGAGCAAAAGAAACCCTGAGTAGAGATAGCCCTGGAACAGAGAAATAGATATGATTTTTGGCAAAATTGTGAGGCTACAATTTTCTGATCAGCCTTGCACTGCTCTGTAATCTAGTATTTCACCTTAGAATTGGTATCTAGACTTATTCAGCTTCTTAAAGTAAGCATCGGTGAGATATTTGGGGATTTTCACACCACTGATACCAATTTTTGGTGGAGGTGGAGATGACAAATTTCTGGTGTATTCTACACAGAGGAACTGGATTCGGGGACAGAGGTCCAGTCACAAGTAGAAGCCACTGCCCAGCTGCTTCAGGAAAATCACCCTTTTGTCTCTGTGGCAGCACCCAGTGAGGATGGTCAGAATAGGCCCAGGAGGATACTAGCTTGCAGTTTTCTCACATGCTGACAGAAGGGTTTTTTGCTGTGGCTCAACAGATTTTGAGGCACATCTTCAGTAGGATAGTATCTAGGCATTTTAGGAAGCTTAACCACAACAGTACTGCCATTCTTGTCACCACCAATTGGTTTTGTGACAGTAGCAAGAACCTTTTTCCTTTCAATCCTGGTTTAGCTGCTGGCTACTTTCTCTTGTATATGTTTTTTCTGGAATACATAGAAGATTGTGTATATATGCCTGAGTAGACATTTAACTGACTAGAACAGGGTTTTGACTGCAATGGGGCTTCCAGTTCTTAGGCGTTTTGGCCTTGAGGTTACCATTCTTAGCCTTGCCACTAGCATCACCTTCTTGGCTTCAGGTTCCTTCTCTTTCATAGCCAGCTTGTCAGCTTTTTCACCTGCCATCTTGCAAGATGGGAAAGAGGGGAAAAACCTATTTTGATTTAAGGAATTTCTAATAAAATGCTTCCTTTACTTAGTGATACATTTTATGATTGAATGCTTTTTAAGATTAGTCATCTTTCTCCTCCATTTTTAAGAAAATAGTGAATTACTTGTGATATATTTTCTTTAAGGTATATACAAACTAACCTTATTTTAAAATTATGACCAAAATTACCAGCCTTTTCTACCCAACTTCTCTCTTTCCTAGCTAATAAACCAGGAGTACTGAAACTGCAGATTGGTTAGCTTTTAAAAAAAGATTTATTTATTTATGCATACAAGAGCTGGGGTACAGGCCAGAAGTGTATGTGGGGGGGGGGGAGTGAGAGGATTCACCAGAGACAGAGTGGGAAGCAGAACAGGCAGACTGACTGAAATACTCTGCTGAGGGGAGCAGTGGGCAAATCAGGAGAGGTCTGCTGTGCTATGTGTGTAGCTCCCTGGCCGGGGATCGAACTCATTCTGCAGCGGCTGTGGATAGCTTCATAGGTTGCGTCTTAACTCCTTGCACCACCAGGGAGGCCTGGTTAGTTTTTTAAATAACATTTTTTTATCATTATCTCTATTTATAAACCTTCTACATGTGCAATTAGGGCATTTGAGGGAGTAAAGCAGAAACGCACAAGGCAACAGCAAAAATTACTTCCTATTTAGTGAGTAATTCTTGCTGTGCTAAGTTTAAAATTTATTTTTCTCATTTAAATGGGGCATATTTAACTCTTCTCTATAGAAAGAGAAGATATTATAGTTAGAAATCCATTCTCAAGAATACCTTAAAAGTATAACACAAAAAAAGTCAAACTTTATTTGAATTTCAGTAAAGATAGCCTTGTTTTTTTAATGGAGTCATTCACTGATGACTCTGTTTTCTTCCTTAGTAGAGTGTTTGGTGGGGTGGGGGTGGCAATTGGACCTTCTCAGGTGGGAGGACAATAAGCCTTATAACACTTCATCTTTCTCTTTTGACATTTTGTCTTTTAATGCAAACTCCAGCAAGATGCTCAGAAATGGCAATTCCTTCCTTTTCTAGTGTTTTGGTGCTTTCCTGTTGAGGGTGGGTTTTTGATTATAAGTAGATGATGAGAGGGCAGGAGCACAGGTAGCAGAGAGCCCAGTATTGTCCCTGTGGCTCTGATCCCCCTTTTGGGTCCTGTCTTCACCATTTCAGTCTGATCTGGTCCACTTATAATTGGATTAATGAAAGGTGACTTTCAAGTGGTATGACAGGATTAATTGATGTTTGTAAAGTA